CCACCGTATTATTCTCGAATCATTCACATATGTAGATCTTGTCTAACCAAGTAAATTGTAACCGCCATAAAGAAAAAGCCATGTTGCTTTTATTAATTTTATTTTTCAATGACAGTTGACATTTAATATTATTTTGTATTAGCTTCAGGTATATGCATAGTGGTAAACAATCATATGATTTACACAGTGATCCCCCCATAAGTCCAGTACCCTCCTGACACCACACATAGTCAATACGATATTGACTATACCTGTGCTGTACTCTGCATCCCGTGACTATTGGTAGCGGCCAGTCTGTACTTCTCAACCCCTTCACCTCTAAAAGCTGTGTCTTTACCTTTGTTTGTACCCATCACAGCCACTATTATGATTTGCCGTATCTTCGCCTGACAAGTACTGATTCCTTCAATTATAATATGCAATTACAAATGTAAAATTCAACGTTGAGTTAGTAAACTGCTTTTGCAGGGATGGAGAGAAGAGTATTGTCAACATACATGTTGAGTATAAGATTCAGCCTGCTTTTAGCAGTGTCCAAATATTCTAGATACACAGCTACATATTCAACAAACATACACACCCATGCACTTGAATCCATCTATAAAGTAAGGAAACATGGAACTGATTGGCTTACTGATTTCAGGAGTTTTCTCATTAACACTGCCTGGCATGAGATCATTCATTTTAGTTTATATAATTTCAATCCATTTGTATTTTTCTAATAAAGGATGTTGAGCCCAGCCAGTGTGGCTCAGTGGGTTGGGTGCTGTCCAATGCCCGTTCGATTCCCAGTCAAGGCACATCCTGGGTTGCAGGCTCAATCCCCAGTGGTGGGTTGGGGTGGGGGGAGAGTGCGTGCAAGAGGCAGCTGATCGATGTTTCTCTCTCATCATTGATGTTTCTCTCTCTTTCCCTCGTCCTTCTTCTCTCTCTAAAATAAATTTAAAAAAAAAACATTAAAAAAAGTAAAAGATGATGCTGTGAAATGTGATTGGCAAAGAGAAGGGGTTTCTCAAGTTGGGCCTTCAGTGCCCTTGGGTTCAGGTGGCGACTGCGGAATAGTGAAGACCGTGGCCTCCCAACACTCACGCTCAGTACACCGCGGCCAGGCACGGGGCTCTCCATCCCTCCCTCCCCGCCGGGTGGGAATCACTGGATTCGCCCTCTCAAGGCGTTCAGAGCGCAGTCATTCTGCTGGGACTGTTCTCATAGCTTACTCTTCCAAACCATCCCCCTCCTGCGGCATCTCAGTGAATCCTCAGTTTCAGAAGCCTTGCCCATGGGGCTGGGTCAAGTCCCCAGTTATGCGTTCTCTAGCACTGCCTCTCCTTCACAATGCATTATACGGTTCTTTATTGAGCACCAAATATGGAGGCCACGCCCAGTCTAGACACTGGCCGGAGAGCTGCAAAGTCAGGACAGAGCTGTTTGCATGGCCCTCACACTTCAATGCAGTGATGGAAATGCATCTAATTGAAAATTTGCTCTGTGCACCCTACATGCCATGGCGGGTACTTTCAGTAAAACTGGGTGACAGTGACTGTCATTATATTTACTTTCCAAAAGAAATGCAGGCTGAGGGAGGTTAGGTGATGGGCACCAGGTCATGGAGCAGGTGAAGGCCATCCCAGCAAGGCAGCCCGGAGCCCAAGTCCCGCCCCTTCTGCTGCGTTGCCGTTGCCGTGGTACTGGTGGTACTTCTGGGCACGGGTGAATGAACTTCTCACTGTTCTTTGGCGCTCTTGTTTTTCTTCTTGGCCAGTTGCACAAACCATGGTTTGTAGTGACAGGCATATCATTCGGGCAAAGTAATTATTGGGAAATTCAAAACTCGAAGTGCATTGACATGGCCACGCTATTCTTCTATCTGAATCCTTATCTTCAGAAAGGACACAGGAGACGGCAAACTTAAACTCATCACTTCACCTTCTCTGGGTTTCCATCCCTGCTCTCTGTTAGTGTGAGGCCACAGGAAGGAGCACTGCTGGACCGGTGTCCGTGGGAAAGTCAGTGGGTAAGAGAAAGGAGGCCGGACCATGGAGAGTGAAGTATGTTCCCAGTGCTCTCTGGCTGGAGCCATTAGAGCATCTTCGTTCTGGGCTGTTTCTCCGAGATGAGCCGCAGACGTAAGGCCACCTAAGGCCACGTAAGGCCATTAGCCCCCTGGGTGCATGTTCTTTTTACTTCCTTCCCTTTCTTCTTTTCTTCCCCCCTGCCCCCCTATTTCCCTCTTATTTGCCTTGGGGAGTTTGCAGTAACGATTTTAATGGATTTAAAGCTGCTTATGAAACAGCACATGAATCTATCTGGAGGGAGGGAGAGACATAAAAGAACTCGTGGGCTGAGGTTAGCAGAGACGGATGGAAGAGCATCTGAGGGACCAATTTGTTCATATCACCTTCCTGGGTCTCACTGTCCCACCAAAGGACACGTGCCTGTGAACAGGGTGGACGAAAGCCCTGGCAGCTCAAACCCAGGCCTCACTGCTGTTAAGAGCTCTTCAGAGCAAACTGCTGGCCTCCTGGCAGATCAGGTTAACAGGGGCAGCGCCAACTTATTCTCCCCAGCTTAAAAAAGGAATAAGTTGCTAACAAAAATTCAGGTTATTTCTCATAGAAATCAGATGTTCTGGCTTCCTGATAATCAGAAGCTGTGGCCCCATTGGGCTCCTATGTCCCCACGGCTGCTTGGGGCTGCTGTTTGGGAGCCACTCCGCCTGCTCTACATTGAAATGTGTCTGAGCTCTGCATCCGTTCACCTGGTGTAAACCTGATTGGATCTGAGATTGTGACCCCTGGTCCTTACTGTACGTGGCAGGTGGTGTGTGCATTGTGTGTGTGTGTTTATGTGAGTGTGCATGTTGGTGAGGTGTGTGTCTTCCAGATCCTCTGGTGGAGGCAGGTGGTCTATTGTTGCTGTACTTTAAAGAATACTTGATACTCCAATGGTTGTGATTTCACTTGTTTTCGATCACAATAATTACTTAGAGATGCAGATGTCCTTAAAGGTTGTAGATTCATTATGTTGAGCAAAAGTAGACATTGGATGAAAGCGGGATTGCCAAAGAGGAGGTCTTGCCAACGAGCAGGTCATAATATAGATGGAGCATTTCACCAGCTGTGTTAAGATAAAATAGAGTAGAAAACATCAGCATGTTATAATTGAAGATGCATAAATAGTGAGGTAAATATACTGGCTCCTAATCTAAGCTACACTTATTACTGTGGTTGCAGTCACAAGAACTTTAAGAGCAACTGGATTGCCAAGTTTGAGAAACAGAATTTGATATTAAGCAATAAACTACCACTGTTTCTAGGTAACAGGTATCTTCATTCTTTTTAGAGCCAAGATTGGCATATACATAAGTAAGTAAACAACAACATTGGTCATAGGGGAAGCCAAAGGCCACTTCTTCCTCTTAAAGAGTTGACTGAGGCTACTTCCTCTTCTTCGGGAATGATAGTTCCATATTTGATGGGAAAAGGAGCTGTGAAAAATGAAGACCTTGCACAATTAGGTGTCACATTTGTCTGACGGCATCATTGAGGAGGGAAGGGCAGTGAGCACTGGACAGTGAGGGAACGTGACTGAAACACATCAGTTCTTAGTTTTCATTCCTCATTGGATTGGCGTGACTTAATAATTAAAATCACACAATCAACCCCCTGAGGTAGTTCTTTATATTAGCTTACTGAAAGAGCCACCATTAATTCTTTTCCTTCTTCTCACCTAGCCCATATCAGTGAAATCCAAGCGAGGCAGGTTTTGACGGATTACATACACTGAGCTATATGTGCTGAAAATTGCCATATGGTCATGGTATCAGGCCAACTGTGGGAAATTAGATAGGGAGAAATCTTTCTATTTTTATTGCATTAATTGCATAGACTGGGCTAGATAAAGTAATTAACAGCCATTTGGGTCGAAATGTGCTTGATTTCCATGTTGTTTTCTTCAGATGTGAGTGAAACTCGGCCCTCAAGCCAGGATTCAGTTTTTCAGCAGGAGATTCTGAGATGGAGGGAGTGGCATTGTGTCTTTGAATAATTAAGGTCTTTAAAATAAACAAACAAAAGCAACCTCTTTGTTTACTGTCGATAGATGTATAGATCAAAATCAGAACTTTAAAAATATCCTTGCATGTAATTTTGCTCACGTCCTTTAGAAATATTTAGAGTAATTAAATATATTGGTAATTCTACATATCATGTATGTACACACACACACACACACACACACACACACACACACTAAAGTATACTTAGCAATTAAAACACCTTTATTAACTTCTTGCCTAACTGTGTGTACCAGTCTCCCTTGTGAATGGACTTCATTCTGGTTTAACAGTCTGAGGCGGAGATGACCTTCCTCTGAGGCGTTAACACTAACCATCAGACCACAGAGCTTCCCTGGGGGACCTGCTCTTCTGTTGGCCACGTTAATGCAGCACAATCATGATCCCCAACGAAACTCTCAGCTGCATTTGACTCCTCACATTGAGTGGAAGCTGGAGTCAGATTGGACCTCTGACTTTGGAAATGAAGGCATCCTTAAGGCATCGTCTGTAAGGGAAGTTAGAACTGAGCCTGGGATTCATGGAACCCTTAGTTCACCTCTGAGCTGGATGGTGGGGACGCTGACGGGTCTGATTCCTGGACTGAAGGGGAAAGCAGTCCAGCAGGTTTCCTGCTTTGACAACAGGAAAGCAGAGTACAAGGATTATGCTAAAAATCAAGAAATGGCCTTTTTTTATTTTATTAACTTTCTGCTTTGTTTCTTGAGAAAAAAAAATCACCATGTTAGCCAAGAGAGACGGGTTCCCTGCCTGTAGTAATAGCAGCTTGTTGGAAATGTGGGTTCTCGCTCACTCTGTTTAGCAGATGGGCATGAGTGTCCTCGCCTCATGCAACATCCATGGGTCTGGTCTCCTGGCGCGTCAGAGGCTCTGGTGCCTGGCTTCTGGGGCGGGGCTCTCAGAAGCTCTGTTCTTGTTTCCACAGGATGTGTGAGACTGGCGAGGGGCTGTTTATCTTCCAGACGCGAGACGGGGAGGCCATCTACCAGAAGGTGCACTCTGCCGCGCTGGCCATCGCCGAGCAGCACGAGCGCCTGCTGCAGAGCGTGAAAAACTCCATGGTAGGTCGGGGTTCCTTCCTCAGCTCCCAGTGGGAACTGCCGTCAGCTGCGACCTGGGATCCCTGTGCTGGAAACCACAGCCAGCGATTAGAGCAGGGGTTTACTCCTGTCCTCACCCAGGTATTCCTCGGATTCGATGTCACCCTGGGACGGCCCGGAGTGGCCCGTGGCTGAGGCAGTCACCTCCTTATCTTCTTTGTGCCACAGTTCCTATAGGTGTGTACCTTAATCAGTTTGGGCTCCTATAAGCAATACCATTGACTAGATGGCTTATAAACAACAGACATTTATTTATTTCTCTCCCTGGGAGGCTGGGAAGCCCAAGGGCAAGTTGCTCTCAGAGTCACTGTCTGCAGGGAGGGCCCACTCCCTGGCTCATAGCTGGCTGTCTTTTCTCTCTGTCTTACACACAGAGGGGACTTGGAGTGTCTTTATAAGGGCGCTCTGTCCTCAGGACCTAATCACATCCCGAGAGCCCTGCCTTCTAATACCATCCATTTTGGGGTTAAGATTTCAATGTATGGATTTAGGGGGAACATGATTATTGGGACATAATTGTAGGGAGTATGTACATTAGAGTCAATTTGGGGTGTATGGACACCTGTGGGCACAATAACTATGAGGATTACCTGCCTATAGATACATGGTGATCGCTGTATCAGATGTTGTAATTTCCAATGTCAACAGGGTCAGGGGAAAAACATAAGAGAGAGAAGAGGGCTGAGAGGAAACTGAAATGAAATCTCAAAAGCCGTAGACCTGATAACTGTTGACATGAGACTTCGGGCTCCATGGAGGAGATCTCTTGATTTTTTTTTTTCAAAGAAGCCAAGGATTTGAGTCTGTATATGCTACCTCCCAGTCTATAACTGTTGGAAATTCATTCTAATTAAAGCCAACAACAAAACTGTCCCAATTTGTGGGCCAAAGAAGACTTGTCCATAGACTGCATCTTGCCCATAGCCATGCATTTGCCATCTCTGGTTGCTAAACCTTCATAGTCTTCCAGGATAGAGACTCCACAAACACTAACACACACGAGCATCCACAGACGCTCTCTCGGGACACATACCCTGTTTGTTGCTTTGTATTAGGGACTGTCACTCATACCAAGAACTGTGATTCTTGAGTTTCTTCTTTGAGAAGAATAACATGAAACTGTAATCGAATGCGGAAGAGTTAAACAATGCAAATCATGCATCGTGGCTGCAAACACATGCAGGGTTGCCCATCTGGAAGGAAATCTGCAAAACCGAAGGCACTGTGTTGGCGTGCTAGCACTAGGGTAGTTTGCAAATTGCTGATGTAAACATGTGGGCTGGTTGGATTTAAAGAGGGAGGGAAAGCATGTCAGTAATATGATCTGTCCCAGAGCAGTCCCGAGTTATCCCAAATGGCTTGTGCATGCATTGCTTCAGGATTTCAGAGCAGGAATCGGCAAAGCTTTTTGTGAAGGGCCAGGGAGTAAATGCTGTAGGTTTTGTGGACTAAGATGGTCTCTATTTCAACTCCTTAGGTAAAGCAACCATAGGTAAAACATCATCAAATGGGTGTGGTGTGTTCCCAAAACACTTGAATTCAAACTTCATGTAATTTTCATATCATGAAATATTTTCCCCTTCATCATTTAAAAACGTTCTTTTTGAATTAATGCAGATTGGATATCCATTTCCTCATATGCTTACCAACTCTGGATATCACTATAGAGCTAGATAAATGGATGGATGGACAGATAGCTGGCTGGCTGGCTGGCTGGATTGGATGGTGGGTGGGTGGATAGACATTAGCTAGTCAGCTGTACAGTCTAATTCAAGTCACTTCAAATTTACAGGGCAACATGTGATTGCATTAAAGTTGTATAGCTATCCATTAGACGCCTTCAAACATCTGAGCAGGTTTTTTCAAGATGACCTTGTTTGTGAAGCCATCAATTAGCATAAATTGTTGTGTGCTTGGAAGGCACGTTCTGCACACACACGTTTTTCCATTTACAACCTCCTCATTACTTCCGCTAAAATTAATCAGGATTATGAGTCATGCCTTCAGATTATCCCCTTGCAAATTTAACTGGAAAATAACATTCGTTCTTAATTCACTGTATGCTGAAGGGGTTCTACAACTGAATGTGATTTTAAAGCAACAGCGTTCTGTTTTAGATGGAAATGAGTAAGTGTCAAAATGGGATCTGAATTCCAAGGGAGTTAAACAGGATTGCAGAAGGCTTAAAAACCACGTACTTGAATCAATTTCTGATTAGGGGAGAAAAGAGATTCGGTGCTAACATGAAGCAAGTGATGACAACATGACTGGCCACCCTCCCTGGGCTACAATTTTGAGTTTTCTGGTCATTGGAAATGGATCCACCCAGAGCTGGCTGTATTCTCAACCAGTCACTGTTGGCTTGCTTCCCTGAAATAGTTAAGGTCATAAATGGAGAAAGATAGCGAAGCTAACCTCTAGGCTTAGCCTCATTATTAGGAAGCCCTGGCCCACTGCTAGCTGACTTCGTCCCCAGACAGAATCCTGCACTGTGGGAATGCCAGCCTGGAGTGAATTAGTTTTGATCAGACTTATGACCTTGTGTCCCAGAGGTCACAAAGAGGAGGCATGTGGGTTGGATAATAATAGCAAGTATTGCTATTGTGGTTGGCTGAGTAATGGCTCCCCAAAGATCTCCCTATCCTAGTCCCTGGAGCCTGTGAATGTTTCCTTATGTGGCAAAAGGGATTTGCCAATGTGATCAAGCTAAGGCTCCTGAGATGGGGAGGGTACCCTGGATTCTCCAGGTGGGCCCAAGCTAACCACAGGGTCCTTATAGGAAGAAACAGGAGGCGATGTGATGTTGGAAGCAGAGGGACAGAAAGAGAGAGACAGTGGAAGATTCTATGGGGAAGGCTTTGAAGGTAGAAGAAGATATGCGCTGAAGGATGTAGGTGGCCTCGAGAAGGTCATGGCCTGGAGAAAGTAGAAAAGCCAAGGGACCGATTCTCCCCTGGAGCCTCCAAAAGGAACCAGCCCTGCCGACACCTTGATCTTAACCCAGTGAAACTGATTTCAGAATTCTGGCCTCCGGAATAAATTGCTTTTGTTTAAAGCCACCACGTTGTGGTAATTTGTTACAACAGCCATAGGAAATGAATATAATATTAAGATCAATAGTAATGGAAATGTTTCATGCCTTTCCCCTGTGGCAGACAACCTGTTAAGGACTTTCTGTGTACTTTCTAACCCTCAAGATGACCCTTGGATTGAAGGCCTAAGGCCACCAGCTTGGAATCAGTGGGTTCAAATTTGGAGCAGGGGTGACCTGCTGGGGTAACCCCAAATTATGCTTTATGTCTGAATCAAGCCCCTAATACATGTTTTCTTTGCCTGCATGAGATCTTCTCACTGCTGTCTAAAAATTCCAAATTAGTGGCCAACATTCAAAAATGAAGGTTTCACATAAAACTCAGATTTCTGTACTGTCTTGAAAAGTGAAAAGGCTGGGTAACACTGGTATCACATCCCCACATGGCAACCATCAGCTCTGCCCAGTAACATCTGCCCCTTAGGTAGAATGGCGTCTTCAGTTTTCCCAGTTCCTACCATGCTCTGCGTCACTCAGCAACCGGTCCTTCTCTGGGCATTTATACCATGCTGTGGCGATGGATGTCTCGCCTATGTTACAACATGTATTCATTTTCTATTGCTGCGTAACTGAGTCCCACAAACTGTGCACCATAAAACACACCCACGTATTATCTCCTGGTTGCTGTGGGTCAGAGTTTTCATATGGCTTAGTTGGGCTCCCAGCTTCCATTTCTCACAAGGCTATGGCACTGGTGTCCACTGGGCTCCAGTCTCACCTGAAGGTGAGACTGGGGAAGGATCCATTTCCAAGCTGTTATGGTTATTGGCAGGATTAAATTCCTTGTGGTTGTAGGATAGAGGGCCTCAGTTCTTGTTGACTTGGATGAAAGCCTGCCTTGCCACATGGACCAACACACCCACTTACTTAGTCAAAACCAGCAAGAGAGAGAGTCTCCTTGCTAGGTGGGGGGGTCACAATCCTAAGTATCATAATCATGGAAACGGCGTCTCATCACCCTGTCATAGTCTATTAATTAAAAACAAGTCACAGATCCTTAACACCATCAGAGAAGGGGAGCACTGGGGGCACGAAGACCTGGATGAGAAGATCATGGGGCCACCTTACTGTCTGTCCCCACACCACGCAGACTTCTGGGGTCCTGTTCATTTAGTGTTTTGATTTTACCTTTTTGATACTTTTTCTACTTTTTGGTGTTTTGCTAATGATGTCATTTATTTATTGAACATCTGCTATAGGCCAGGCACGTTAGTAATAATAGCCACTACAGTTCTTCAAGCCTCCTGCAATATGCCAGACACTCTACTTGCTTTTCCTCTGATCCACAATATCTTTGTGAGGTAGATGCATTCACGCATTCTCATTCATTTGTTCATTACAAAATGCTCATTGAGGACATAGATGCTGTTATGTGCTGTGGCATGTAGTGGTGATTGACAGGTGAGGCCCATGCTCCCCTGGGGCTTACAATTCAAGAGAATATTACTCCTGACTCTTGGCCTGGAAGGAATCACAGTCCCTGTCATATAAGTGAGAAGAACTGATTCTCAGAGTGGCTAAGTCACTAACCTGCAGCTGTAGAGCCCGTTATTGTTGGAGCCAGGACTGCAGGATCCCTGCATCTGGTCCTGGCCACAATGCCTCGCCCCCTTGGAGAGTGTGAAAGCCCTTACATCTCTCTTCTATCCCCACTCAGCATTCTCAAATTATCCTGAAAACCTTTCAGAAATATCAACTTAGAGTATCTATCTTTTTAAAAAATCACTGTTCAGGACACCCTATTTCTTTTGGTAGTTTTGGCACCAGAAAGCAACTTCATAATTCTCCCCTCCCTTATTGCTTTTTAAACCAGTGTATTATTATTACTGCTCTGAAGGGGGTGCTCCATGAGGCAGGTGGGCCTGGGTTA